GGGGGGGGGTGGTTGCAGCATGGCCCTTAAAGGAATATTCTGGTCATTTTTAAAGTGACACTCTAGTTATCAGTAGTTGGTACTTTGTCCACTGTGACATCAGTCAGAGCTCGGAGTCTTCATCCAGGCTTGCCTCGCCTAGTGTCATGAGGTTTACAGTGTTTCCCCTACTTGCCTTGGCAGGGCGCTAATCTCTTCTGTGATTTTTGTCGGGAGTGGTGGGGGGGGGATGAAGACACGTCTGTGCCGCGCTGTTTGTATCGACAGTTTTCGAGCGGGGGGTGGAGACGGCTAAGTGTGAGTGAAACAGAGTGCTACCTCTGTAGCTTTTTAGTTAGTGTGTCTATATTGCACGCTGCTAGCTTAGTGCTACGTCAGTGCCCACCGGGGGGGGGGGGGGGGGGGGGTCAGTTTGGTAGGCAGGGCGCTCAGTTCTGTTGGGAGCACTGCTTGTATGATGGTGGGGGAAACACTGGTTTAATTCCTTGATAATGGTATTTATTGTGTATTTTTGTTCTTTGGTCAGAAAATATCTCATTTGTTTAAACAGAGGAGGAACTTTAAAGCTGTACCTCAGCCAGCCACTGGGGGGCATCACTTCACATGACTTCAACTTGTTGCTTCTGGTCTTGTCTCTAGTTATATCTCAATGGTGTAGTCAGTCCAAAACTTGACTCATCTCCAGGCAGACTGATGGATTCAGCCGCCTTTGAACACGAGCTACACCCAGCACACATATGAAGCAACACGGACACTGCTCAGCTGAGAAAACAGAAGCGGTGTCATCCTGAAGTGTAGAGGTTTAATATAAGCTAAGGGAGCGCTCCTTCACACACCAGTAGAAAAATGGTGGAGAAACAAATCAAAATTGTGGCTGGTTTAGCTAAGCATTAGCATAGCCTGATGGAAGACTGATAAGGTGCCAACTACTGATAACTATACAACAGAACGTCACTTCAAAATGTCCAGACTATCCCTTTAAGTTGTAGATTAAAGCACCCCATCCCAAACGCTCGCACCCGTCCTGCCTGCACCATTTATGCCAACGCAGCATGTAGAGGAAGAAGTCGGGCTCACACGTGGCGAGCGCACGAGGGGAAACTCTCGTGAACGTTAGTGCTCGAGTTAATAACTCACCTTTTCATTTTAATCGTAAACGAGAAATAGAAACGCAGCCTTCTCATTTCACAAGCCACCCACCCTCTACCACCCCAAACATTTCTCTCTGAAGACAGTGACGAAATAAACACACGCACAGAGTATACACATGCACGCAGCAGCAGAGTTTCAGTGAACACACTCGCCTACTTTTGGAGCACGTTTTGCTGTAACCGTGGTTACACGGTTCCTCTCTGCGTGAAAAGGTTTCAACATGACAAAAATAAGTAGCATGCCACACCGAAAGACTAAATCCTAGAAGTGTTTTTTTCAGATTTTATTTTATTTGATTTTTTTGTTGTTGGTGTAACTTCCGTTACCTTTAGCCGAGCTCTGTCGGTTGTACGTGCACGAGCAGAACGCAACGTCGAGGGCTGCTAATGTCCCACAAAGCTGAGCTGCAGGAGACTGCTGATGTGTTGGGGACAGTGCGAACACTTGTCGCCAAAGTTCCATCACTTTTACACCTTTCAGTTCACATTTTTCTAAACTATTCAGATTTTTTTTGATCATTTGTCCCTTCGTCCCTTCACTAACAGGGCGAGGCGGCTTTTAAAACAGCAAACACTTAAAATCAACCACAATGAAAACGTTTTGTTTTCTAGGAACACCGTGCCGAGGTCAACTGACACCAAAGCCTTGAGGCACGAGACGTTTTTGACTAAATGTTCTAGGGATTGACTTGGCTGTGCAAACAAACTACTGAGAACAGAAGCTAGGACTTAATATAGTTTTATATATGCTTCTATATATTTAGGATATCTAATAAATACATTTGGTGTTACACATAGAGATCTTTATGAGAACTATTTACATTAAAAGGTGTACTTTTTACTGAAACAATAAATAGCTATGAAGGCAAAACAAAACAAAATAATAAAGAAAATCTGTGGTTTGAACTTTTTAGTGCTTTTTAAAAGATGACCGCAGAAACATTCGGGCCTCTGGCTGTGTGTTCCCACTGAAAACAAACCATTCTGCTTTGAGACAACTCGCCTCGTCTCAGTCTGAGCTTCAGAAGTAAACGGCGGAAGCGTCAACTAACTTCATGCGTCTCGCCTGCTTGTCTGCTTTTACATCGTGGAATGTGGTCAAGTCTCTCGACTTTTCAGGATAAACAGGCTTTTCTCTTCCAGCGAACACCTTTAGAACGGGGCAGTGAAGGAGTAGTGTACAAAAAACATATCATGGGTAAAAGTTACCAGCGTGTAGCCTGACGGCTGACGTGACATCCACACTGAGGGGAGGGGTCGCTGGTAAAAATGCCACCGTCATCAGAGAGAGGCAGAAAGCTTCAAACCCACTACCCAAAACTCCCAAACCCCTTCACAATCTAAAGCTGTACATTAGTTGTTCTCACGGGCAGACGTGCACATGGGTCGTCACGAGCACGACTGCTAAAGCTAAAAGAATGTATCGTTGTCGGCTCCGACCGTTTAACACCGCTCGAGTTTAGTGTCCAGAGTCTGCTGACGGACATGTTTTACAAACATTCTCTTTATCTGGTAGTATTACTGCCACCGAGCCGGGGGGGTGGGGGGTTGGGGGTTGGGGGGAGTGTCTGAAAAGACGACACTTTTGTTTACAAAAACCATTTTAAGTGCAACGTACCGTGCACTGATGTCTGACTGGTGAGCAGGGCGGAAAAATCGCCCCACATCACATCAGCCTCGCACCTTTTCATTAGACAACTAGTAGAAATGGAGAGAGGGGTGTGTGTGTGTGTGTGTGTGTGTGTGTGTGTGTTATTTTTAAGTGAAATCTCTAAGTGCTGCCCATGGCTCTTGAGGCATAGAAAAAGAGGCAGTGGGACATTGTGTGGTAACATTCTGTGGCTGAAAGTTGTGTTTATGAAGGACGGATGGGTGGTGGTGGTGGTGGTGGGGGGGGGGGGGGGGGGG